TCAGAAATAACCTTTTAAACTTGGCAGCGCGAACGCTTTGCCTCTCTTTGCGGTTTGTGTGCTGATAAAAGCACAGGCGAGTGGAAGGGTGAGGCAGAGGCCTGTGCATCGCAATCTGGGGGCACTTGCTGACCCTGCGAGGAGCCTCGTGACGTCGCCGGGCTCCTCAGACAGGGTTTTGCTGTGTCTGTCTGAAGACACAACGCCACGTGTGAATGGGAGCAGAGAGGAGTCCATGTTCTTCCCTTTGGTTTACCGAATGGTGACAAGAACGTCTGTTTTCTTACCCTCATTTAAGTGCACAAGCTTTACGAAAGCTACAGTGTCCATCTGCAAATTATGGGAGAAATTAACCATCTTTTGCTGCGCTTTTTTCTTTTTTACCACTCAGGGCTGAGCCGGTACTTTCACGAATTCAGGAAAATCGGAGAAGGGTCATTCTTCCCTCGATAGACAACATCAAGCAGGACAACTTCGAGGTGCAGCGTTACGAGAACTCTGCCCACGGGTACAGCTGGGAGCTGTGGTGCATGTACATCAGCCCCCCCAAGGACTGGTGGGATGCCGGAGACCCCTCGCTGCCCATCAGGTATGTCGCAGAGCCCGGGGCCGCTCGCTGTCCGTCAGCGAGGTGCAGTGAGACAAAATGCAGAAAGAGAAGGCGAGGAAGCCAGCTCGGTGGGGTGGATGTAAAATATCCTAACACGAGCCAGCTCAGAGAGGCTGTACGCAAGCCAGGAAGGGTTTTGCTAGCGTGAAGGGATTTGGAAAGGGGGTTTATTTGGTAACAATACACAGAAACACTGAGGAAGTATAGGAACTGTGTAGATTTGCAGAGTCTTACATTTAACTGCATATATAACAAAGTAATTTTACCTTAATTACAGCATTAAGTTTTTGCAAATCATAAGGAATGAGGTGATTATTCCTGTGTAATGAACTGAGCATGAATTCATGAAATACAAGGCTGTTTTTTCTTGAATAAAAAGTACGTCTCCTCTAAGGGCAAACTGTAAAAATGTATCTTAGGTTGTTCTAACACTTCAGCTCTGAAATGTTGCCCCCAGCCCCTCCAGACTTAAGGTGTGGGACAAGCCCCTTCGGACAAAACCAAAGCAGGAGAGGAGGGAATAGCTCGGTGTGGGAGGGAGACTGTGCTGCTCTGTATGTGGAGGTCGATGATTTTCCCTTGACGGCCCCTGAATATCAGAAGTGCTGCTATGACCAGGAGTGGTTTTCTGCCCAGGTGAATAGGATATGTTGCTCCTAAGTGGGTTAATATGGAGAAGGCTTGTCCTCGGGCGTATAACAAATGCATATGTGCAAATCCATGCCTGATCTGAATCCTGAACCAAAGTATCTGTGCTTCGGTCAATGATACAGTCCCTGGAAACTGAAATTAGGTCTATTCCCATTTACAGAGACCTTTTTATTCCTGTGGGCTCCCTTGCTCCAGACAGCATATTCAGCCATCAGTGGAGGAATTGACAGTTTATTCTGGACAGCAATCAAGTCTTTGAGGAATAAACGGTTATTTTAACCCAGCGCAAGCTGCTGGACTGGTTAAAGGAGGGGCTGAATGGCTGGGGTGTACAGAAGGTGAAGCTGAGGAATTCAAAAGCCTTTGCAAGTGAGGCGTGAGCACTGGGTGCTGCAGTCCCTACGGGCGCGTGACTCCGGTGCCTCTGGAGGATGATAAAAGGGGACCCTCTCTGTTGGTACAAGCCTCTCAGCCCGTGGGTGTGAAAGTCAAGAAAGTTTTGCTGGAAAGAGCAGCCTCTTTTATTTGATTAAACTGCTGTAGTTGGGAGAAACAGCCAGGTTTGGGCGTATGGGATGTCCCCTGTGGCTGCGACGTGAGCCTGGGAGCTTGCTCCGGTTCCAACACCAGAAGGCAGGGTGCACTGAGGACACTGGACCCACCCAAATGGGGCATTCCAATACGTGGCATGGCCTTCTGTTATATTGCCCTACGAGAATTTTGGTTTTAAGTTCAGTTTCAGTGTGCTTAGGAGAGCGGTTAAGCTGTGGCAGAGAGATGGGGAGGGACAGGCTTCTTTGTGGAAGCTGGTGTTTGATGGCAGGGCAGCTGAGA